TGCAGTGTGGCTGGTTGCATTCAGCCTTTCTGCTATTTCTGTCTTGTGCCCATTGTACACCACCATTTGTGCACACTGCTGCCATTTCATGCTGACTGATTCTTTCATCTGCAGTTGACTAGATTGCTTGCTTTTGTTTTCTTTATCACCCAGCATTTTTCCATTTCTCTCCATTCACTACTCATAACCCTGGCTGTCTGTGCTGACCTCCATGATTAACAGCTGATCTAGGAGCCAGTATTGCTACAGTGTGCTTGAAGCTTTGTCCTGCGTTCAATGTACTCACTTTTCTCCTTTTTAGCCTTTGTGCTTAATTAGTGTTCTCTTTCAATCATGATCCAAGGGTCTCTCTAACTGTGAGAAGGTTAAATTTCTTGTCTGTGTTAGCTGTTTAGAAGCTGAAACTAAACATTGAGTTGGCAGTGGCCATCTCAGCTGGTTCAAATTGGACTGCAGCACACTCCTACTCCTTTCTTGTCTGTGTTTTCTGGAATCATGGGCTAAGAATATTTTGTCCATGATCGGTTGGCTGTAATCACTTGGTGGCAGGTTGTGTTTCTGCCTGTGACTGCCCACATGATCATTTCAATTCATAATATTACCATCAGGTGGGGGTTATCAAATAGAGGTTAGGCATTAGCTCTCTGGAATACCACTACCCCCCACCCCAAAACACTGCCTAGGAGATCCTAGGTTAATTCTCCCCTTCACCCACTGCTTATTCTCTGATAATGAATCATCATTATTGTAGCTTTTTTAAAAACTGCAGACCCGAAGAAGGCCATTTACACTTAGGAGATGTACTTATAGATGCTTATACTTGTAATACAGTGATAGTGTGTTGGATTTGATCTGCATTTGGCATTAAACAGGAGGTCACAACATAAACCTATCTCACTTGTAACAAAAAAGCCAAAATTAGGAGAGAGAGAGAGAGAGAGGAAAAATGCAAATCTTGTATAAATTTGAAATGAGTTGTATTGGTTTCTGATTTTTGTCTGGCTGAAAGTGATTTTGCTGTCTTTTGAATTGAAACTTCAAATTCTGTCATCTGGAATGGACCCGATTCCAGACAGGAAGTCCAAGGTCTGTTTTTCAATCGTTGATTTGCGAGTAACGGGGAACTGGAGCTATGACCCTAGATTGCGAAGAAACTGTGTGGCTGTGAAATGACATTATGGGTTACTGTTGTGGGAATAATGCTCCTGATATTTATGGGGAGGTGAGTTGGGGAGGAGAATCTGGGTTAAAAATACCTTCAAAAATACAATTTTATGAAATTGCATTGTCCGCTAGTTTAGCGGATGCATTAACCCACACAGAATTGTAACGTATGTTTCTGGTTCAGACAATACTTCTAAATTGCTCGACATATTAATTTTAAATGGATTGTCACCTCTGCTAAAGTAGACAGAGGAATTTTGGGCACACGCTTCTTGTATTAGTAAACCACAGCACAAATTCAGAGACTCTTTGTAATTTGGACCTTAAATGACAAAAATAGCCACCTGAGAAAGTAACCTTTAGTCCTTTTGTATACTCGTTTCATTTATATGTCAAGAGAATTTATTTTTGCTATTTCCCAGCCCTCCAGTTCTCTGCATCATGGCTTTTCTATGAACTAGATGGCATTAGTTCCTAGAGTAAACGTCGTGTTTTCTTTTTCAGAGTGCAAGAAGTTTTAATTAGCGTTGTAACTGCTCTTCGCCAAACTATTCATTAAACCTCTTACAGTCTTGTGATTTTTAACTGCACACTGACATTTTCACTCATTTGAATCTTAAAGTGTATCTTTATTTTCCAGAATCACCTTTTATTTGTTAAAAAAAAAATCAAATTTTAATGTGTAATTAAATGGTTTTTGTCATCTGCATTTTAAAAAGAGCTCTTGAAAGCTGAAAAGGAAGACTAGGCTTATTGTAGATTCTGTTCAAGTCTGAGACAGCTAAGGCCCTAAGTTGCTAAGAAACTGTGTAGCTGTGAAATGACATTATTCCCACGATGGTAACCCATAATGTCCCCGGTACTTATCAGGAGGTGGGTTGGGGAGGAGAACTGATCAGGAAATCTGCACTTCGTGATTACTTTGACGACTAGTTCAAAATCGAGTGGACTTCACACACAGAAAAGGCTGGCACTTGACAGCAGGTCAGCATCTGTGGAGATGGTGGATGCTCATTGTTTTGATTCCATATCAACTGGCTGTTAGACTCCATTGGCATGGCAGTGGCCATTGGGTAAAATGATTTGATTTGGTGTTTGAGTTGATAGTGATGAGATTTTTAACTAGAGATGATAGAAATGTGCAGCAGCAGTTCTGATCTTGGACGTTGTAAATGTAACACCTCTTTTTCATTGTCTGTATGCTTGCACATTTGCCACTGTATGGATTCTGCTGCTGTAGATCAAGTTGCCCTAGAACCTTTTGTAGTCCACATGGTTTGTCCTGGAATAAATTGTGGGACAACTGTTACTGTGTGAATCTGGTTATAGTCCTTTTGTATTGTGTGTTGCAACTTCCTGCCAAATAGAACCACTTAGTCAGCTGGTTACAGACATCAGTCCATAACCATTCACCAGAAGGTGTGTGCATTAAGAGCCTGGATGACTTTTCACTCCATACATTGGGTTATGTCTGTCTGGTAACTCTGTGTGAACTGGTTGAAATCTAAAACCCATTGACATGGAGAAATATGAGCACATGTTCCTCTCCCACCTTCTCCATGACTTTATGGTATAGTGTGTTGATGCACAGAGTCCAGGTGCAGCAGTTACTGTTCTATTCAAGTGCTGCAGTTTGTGTGCAAAATGCTGAGTTGTTTAATAATTTGGTACTCCCCTTTTTGCCTTGCAGGATTTTCTTATTATGTTTCTCCATCACCTTGCGACAGTTGGATTAATTACCTTTTCTTACTCCAACAACATGGTGCGAGTTGGAACACTCGTCATGTGCCTTCATGACGCATCTGATTTCTTTTTAGAGGTGAGACCATTCTGTTGCATAGTGAGGCACTTTTTGTCTGGTGATTAGTCCTGGGTAATGATAATTCTCCATATAAATTATTCTAACTTTAATACCTTCTTGTACCAACAACACCTGGTTCTTGATAAATTTACAGCAGTAATCTGTGAACAGTTTTGATCAGGAGTGTAGAAACACAAAACAAATTTGTTGTGACTAATGTCTCTGTATTACACCAAAAAAACCCGCAGTCCACAGAGCCAGATGGACAGTTAGACACAGACACACCAGGTGTGGAACTATATATAAATTCATAAGAAAAAGCCTATGAAGATGCAATTGTAAGATTGGAATCTCATTTCCTGGTTCAGATAATGGTTATAAATTGCTTGACCTTTACTCCTGCAGTTTTTATGGCCGTGAAATTGCATGAGAATTGTAACCCAGGCTTTACCCACTCTAAAGCCCCTCAACTGCCTCCCTTTTGTTAATATTAATAACACATTGTGGTTGTGCATTGAATGTTCACAAGAAACATCTGATTTGCAAGGAGTTTGGACTTTTATCATCTTACGCAGCAGGATTTGATTTTAAAGTTTCCACCCACCTAGTGTTTGCTAAGGGTTATTTACTGTGCGTGCCAAAATCGATTCAACTTTTAAAGCAGTTTAAATAATGTGTGACCCTTGTTCCCTAAGATTTCAAACCCAGTGAATCACCACTGCTCAAGTATCCTGAGAGTCAGGCTGGGAGGTCGGCTTTGCAAGTAGGGCGTTTGCTTTGTGCCTTTGTGGTGATGTGGCTGCATGTTTGAAATTGAGTGCACTGCCACTTCTGACGGCCCTTTCTGTGGGTTGCATGGTGCTGGGGAAAGAGGCTGCCAGTTACCAAGCACCCAGTGCACAACATCAAGCATTATCTCGACCGGGTCAGCTGCAAAATAAGGTTCCTTCTAACCTTAAAATCCTTTCAGCTGTGTGCCCCAAGTTGAAGTTGGGAGTTTGAAATCCTCCTTTTCTGTGTCCCTGTTGTGAGTTCTAAACAGGAGGAGAAAAGCTAGTCACTGTTCAGCTTTCACCAATCCACCTAACTGCCCATAAATGCATGTAAGTTGACAATCTCCCACAATGTTGCTGATCTGGGGGGTGTAAATTTCACATGTAATAGGAAATGTTTGGATGTTGGGGTTAAGATACCTTGAGGCAGAGCCTAGGGAACTTTTATTGTTGATTAATACTTGATGTTGTGCACTGGATGCTTCTTTCTCCAGCACTTCAAACTTAAACAATACACTGTGGTTTTAAAAAAAAAAATTACCTCAGGAGGTTAAACAACGCATGCATCAGCAAGGGCTGGAATTCTTCCCAAGATGATCATCATTGGCTGACTCACCAATAGAAATCAGATTGCTTTAGAGTAGTCCTGCTCTGGCACAGCTCTTTATGTGAAATGAAAACTTTGGCAGAGTTTGTGCCTATTTGGAATCCAGAGTAGAGAAACTACCACTTCAATAACAGTAATAAGTACTTGTATTTACACAGAGCCTGTTCGTGTTATAAATTGTTTTAGTCTCTCACGCTTGCTCTGTCTCACATGCTCTCTTGCGCTCTCTCTCCTGAAAGATGGTAATGAT